TTGTGGAATATCAGTGGCGTAGTGTGGGTTGTCAGCACCTGGGGCAAGGCAAGTAATTTGCGCCCCCTAACCCGTGGATTTGCGCCCCCTAACCTGTGGATTTGCCCTAACCTCAGATGTTGCGCCCGGTGCGGCCGGCCCCCCCTGCGCCCCCCATGCTACGCCACTGTGGAATATTGTGCCAAGAGAGATTCAGCAGCTGCTGCCCTCTGCTTCCATGCTGAAATGTTTTCTGTACTGCCAGGTTTATGCAGGTGATTAGGAACACATTTTTTAGAAATTGCTTTTTATTAATTTTATTACTTACTACAAACATACACAATAAAATCACCAAAATAATGACTACAAACAAAAGAAGATATAGAAATAAAAAAGCAAAAAGAGAGAAAAGAAAATAGGAAAAAACATACCAAATACATACATGCAACCATAAATCCATCAGTCTTGCATATTGACTTATGTCACCATATTCTTTAATCTTCATTCCTTTTCTTCTCAAATAGACTTCCATCTTCCTCTAAACAGGTCTATTTTATCTATTTGTTAAACTGCTCCTATTATCCTTTCTCAATTTCTACTGTTTTCCACATACTATACTAATAATTCATACTGTGGTTTGCAAAAGTTAATCAAAGCAAATCCAAGTTTTTACTTGGGGACACTGGTTTTTCACATAATCTCTATATATTCCCCATTCCTTTTGGAATTTTTGGTTAGGTTGTCTCCTAATCGCATCTGTCATTGTTGCCAACTCAAGATATTCAAATAGCTTATCCTGCCATTCCTTTTTTGTTGGTACTTTTTCACTTTTCCAATGCCTAGCTATTAATATTCTACCTGCCGTTGTGGCATATAAGAATATTCTCTTTTTTCGTTTGGTATATCCGAGTCCAAAATACTCAACAAGAAAGCTTCTGGGTTTTTTTATATATATAAAGGTTTGCTTAAACATATTCTTCACAGTTCTTCAGAGGTCTAGAATATGGGAAGTCTGTTTGAAATTTAATAATTCGGATTGTAATTTTTTTTTTAATTTTTTTTAATTTGTTATTATTTTGAATTGGATTATGATTTGATTTGTTATAAATTGGAAGTTTAATGAAAAATTATTAAAACAAAACAAAACAAATTCTTCAGCTCCTCTTATATAATATCCCAAAAATCCTTTTTTTCCCCTCCCCCAATCCCACCACACCTCCAGCAAGTGTTACGATCTCATTTTATACTTTTTGGAGTTTGCTGGGAGTTACGTGGGTAAAAGCCTCAGCGCCTAGGACTTGCCGATCGAAAGGTCGGCGGTTCGAATCCCCGTGGCGGGGTGCGCTCCCGTTGCTCGGTCCCAGCACCTGCCAACCTAGCAGTTCGAAAGCACCCCCGGGTGCAAGTAGATAAATAGGGACCGCTTACTGGCGGGAAGGTAAACGGCGTTTCCGTGTGCTGCGCTGGCTCGCCAGATGCAGCTTTGTCATGCTGGCCACGTGACCCGGAAGTGTCTCTGGACAGCGCTGGCCCTCGGCCTCTTGAGTGAGATGGGCGCACAACCCCAGAGTCTGTCAAGACTGCCTCGTACGGGCAGGGGTACCTTTACCTTATATACCACCTGTAGAACATCTTCAAAAGATTTTCCTTTAGTGTACAACATGTTTTGTTCCACAATCTTTCCCATGCTGATAATTGGATGTTCCTACCAATATCTTTCGTCCACTTAATCGTGATCTCTTTTACCTCCTCATCTTTCACCTCCCATTCTAAAAGGAGTCTATACATACTGGAAATTATTCTTTTCTTGTTTGGTATTAGATCGTTATCTATTTTTTTATTCTTCCACTGCAAAACCCTTTTTGTTATCTATCCTAAATACCTCTACTGATTGATAATATTGTAGCCAACCCATCAGGTGATGTTTTATTTCCTCGTATTTTTTCACTTTCAGTTTGTAATCTTCTTCTTCCAAGAGGTCTTTATATGTAGCCCAATTAGGAACACATCTTTCCAGACTCACCTTGAGCAGCTCAAAGGGGCTGGGACATTGCTGGAACAACTCTTGGGTTGGGACAAATGGCTAAAATGTTTTACAAAGCTTTAAATGGTTCTTATTTGGGTTCTTCTGCTGTTTTTGACAGGTTGAGGTTGATTAAATGTTTTGTTGGGGTTGGCAGTTATTTTAAGTTGGGTATAATAAACCGCTTATTGTTGTTGTTACTGGTTTCTATTGATATATTGGTTTGTTTGTTGCCTGTACAGGATATTCTGTTTTTTAATGTTTGATGTTTTGTTGTATTTTTAAATATGCTGTAAGCCGCCCAGAGTGGCTGGGGAAACTTCTTGTTGGTCTCCGATTTTAACATTTTATATAGTTTTTATTGTGTGATTTTACATGTAATTGTTGTACACTGCTCTAATATTTTTTATGAATAGGTAAAGGTAAAGGGACCCCTGACCATTAGGTCGTCATGGCTGACTCTGGGGTTGCGGCGTCCCTTTTTTATGCGTCCCTTTTTTATGAATAGCAGCATATATTTTTTAAAAAAATAAATGAGTAATATATACTAGGAGGGACGCGGATGGCACTGTGGGTTAAACCACAGAGCCTAGGGCTTGCCGATCAGAAGGTCGGTGGTTCGAATCCCCACAACGGGGTAAGCTCCTGTTGCTCGGTCCCTGCTCCTGCCAACCTAGCAGTTCGAAAGCACATCAAACTGCAAGTAAATAAATAGGTACCGCTCCGGCGGGAAAGTAAACGGCGTTTCTGTGCACTGGTCTGGTTTGCCAGAAGCGGCTTAGTCATGCTGGCCACATGACCCAGAAGCTGTACGATGGCTCCCTCGGCCAATAAAGCGAGATGAGCGCCGCAACCCCAGAGTCGGCCACGACTGGACCTAATGGTCAGGGGTCCCTTTACCTAATATATACTAGAATGTCCTACAAGAGCTGCCTTCTCTCTCTCTTTTTGCTGTCGATATGCCTGTGCATTCAGCAGCAGCTGAGCTGGTCAACAATGAAGCAGCTGAAGCTAAATGTGGCAAAATGATGGAGAAAAGCTTTGCCAGAGCAGGAAGAGCAGAATAAAGGTCAAGGGGGCAAAGCAGGGGGAAAGTCTTGCACACTGTATCTCAGTTAACTCCATAACTCCGGGATTCATAGGATCATAGACTCACGGAATGGTAGAGTTGGAAGGGACCCTGAGGGTCATGTGGTCCAACCCCTGCAATGCAGGAATCTCAACTGAAGCAACCATGGCAAATGGCCATCTAGAACTTGTGTGATGCATGGAACTTGCACTTTCCTTTTGGCAGTAGCACCCTCCCTGTGGAACACCATCCCATCAGATGTCAAGGAGATACACTTTTAGAAGACATCTGAAGGCAGCCCTGTAGAGGGAAGCCTTTTAATGTGTAATGTTTATTATGCTTTTATATATGCTGTAACCCGCCCATAGTGGCTTGGGAAACCCAGTCAGATGGGCAGGGAATAATAATAATAATGAAAGCCACTTTCAACAGTGGATTTCCCTACCCCCTTCTGAGTAAATAAGGGGAGAACTGCATTGTTGCACACATTGCATCCGTACTCTATGAAAAAATCCAAGAGCACCCCACACCTATCAACCTCTGCTTAAAAACCTCCAAGAAAGGAGAGTCCACAACCTCCCAAGGGAGACTGTTCCTCTGTCAAACAGCTCTTACTGTCAGAAAGTTAGCTGGAATCTCCTTTCTGGCAATTTGAAGCCATGGGTTCGAGTCCTACCCTCCAGCAGGAGCAAACAAGCTTACTGCCTCTTCCATGGGACAGATTTCCCTGAAAAGATTTGAAGATGGCTCTCATATCTCCTCTCAGCCTCCTCTTTTCCAGACTAAACACACCAGCTTCTTCAACTATTTCTCATAAGGCTTGGATTGCAGATGCCTGATAATCTTGGTCACCCTTCTCTGCACAAATCTTAAGTTGTGGGGTCCAGAACTGGACCCAGGTCTCCAGGTGTGGTCTGACCCAGTTAGAATAGAGTGGGACCAGGACTTGCCTTTCACTGTGAAGTGGGCCTTTTTCTTTTGTATAGAAGTCTGGATCCCTAGGATTCTCTCTCTCACTCATTCATCCCCCCCCCCCGCAAAAAAACCCTATAAGGCTGGAAAGCACTAGACATAAGGACTCAGGGGATTAAACTACAGTTCCAAGGATTCTTTGGGGAAAGCCATGACGGTTAAAGTAGTATAATGCTGCTTTAAAAGCAAGGTGCAGCTGCGACCTTAGTTAGGCTAGGTTCAAACAGTGACTGGCCCAGAGGACCTTCATGGCTGATCAGGGATGTGAACCCAGGACTTCCAAGCAATGTACTTACCTGCTTATCCACCTGTTTCACTATTCTATGATTGACACTACAAAGACTGCTGTTCTCTGGGATATGTAAATAATGGAGCAACAAAGCTGCCTGCCTTTTTTTTTGCTTTTTCTTTCCCTGGGGGTGTCACTGGGAAGCTAACATGATGAGCTCCTGTGCTTCAGAATTTACCTCCTCCCCCTCTTGTGCAGGCCATTGGGTTGCTCAGCCTCCTCCCACAGGGAAGGGCTATGGAACATCTTTTCCTTTGACAGCTGTAAGCAGCAGTGCCAGCCAAACGTGGGCAAGGCTTGCAGTCATCTGGCTGTGCTTTTCTGTTAACGTCTCAAGATGCTCCTGTACATTCTTTATCTCCGTTTAGAAGCTTGTAGACTTTAGATGTCACTGCAAAGCTTTGGTGAGTTGGCTCTGTTGCATTTCACGTCCTCTACCTCTCCCATCTACATGTTTTCAACTGAGTCTTGCCAGCCAAAGTTGACCCCAACTGCCCTGCAAATACACTGCGACCAAGGGCCATATAAATTCTGCTAGTACCCTGTATGTTAAATGTGCACTGACCCAGCATCCATATATAATGAGTGCCAATGCAGAAGAGACTTCACTCTTGTCCCCATATTAAAGAAAAATCACACAAGGAAGAGAGGAACACACAGTGCCAACATGGAGTGGCTGTACTTTATATCTTTAATTGTGCACTCACTTTACACCACATTAGACTGTTCACATGATAAAAGACTGTAACGCTGTTCCCTGCAACTCTGTTTACAACTAGTAGCTGGACCCAAGCGTCCCCCCACCCCCATTTCACACTTTGTCCTGGCTAAAGAAATAATTATATTGGTTACACAGTGCTCCACAAATGTATCACTTCATTAATTTTTTTTAAGAGGAGGAAGGAAGGGGGGAACAGTGTTAGTTTAGTGCCGCTCCTGAGCGCTACGACCAGATGTGGAGACCGTGACCTGGAATGTTGGCAGGCTGGGCTCTATCCCACAACCTGCATTTGATGGGCTCTCCCCAACCTGAAACATGAGCTTCTACAAGATGGAGTGCTTCTCAAAGGGAATTGTCAACTCCTTTGCAGCTGGCTCATCCAGAAACCAATACAGCTTCCCAGTGTGGGGTTGGACCAGGGCAGCTGGCAGTGGGTTCTCTTCATCACCTTCCAAAATACGCTGTCCCAAAAAACAGGATGTTAGAAGCTAATCACTTGGAACTTAATGATTAGCACAGTACTCAAAATGTAGACGTTACAGAGATTTCCCTCACCACATCTCCAACAAAAGATAAGAATCAGAATTCAAACCCAAAACTGCATGATTAGCAGCCTTGATATCTACTGAATCAGACATGCCTTTGGAAACCAGGTAGGTTGGTAGGGTGTAGCAGAGGCAGCAGTTTGAACAAAAGGGGTGTTTTTAAACTCTAAATGCTTCTGGAAAGATAGACACCCAGTGGCGAGGGCTGGACCTCCAGTTCTCTCCATAAGCTCCCTCGGCCCCAAAACTAACAGAAACAGAATTACACAAAAAGAATCCAGCCTGCAGAAGTTGATGAATTTGAATAATCAGAGTGGGGAGAGAGAACATGAAATTGCGGGGCAAAGTATTATTTATTATTTTGTGAATCATTTCCCATGAAAACATCTTAAAGAGATTTACTTTTTTTAAAAAAACCATTATAAAATAGAGAGCCATAGCTTAATAATGAAGCACGTGCTTTACATGCGGAAAAGCCCCTCCTTCCATTCCTGGCATCTCCTCGTCCAAATCCCTGGAGAGCTGCTGCAGCCGCTGTATGCTAAGGGTGGGAATCCTGCACCCATCCAGATGTTACTGGCATCTCAAGTGCCACCAGTCCCAGGCAGCCTGGCTAAGGGTCAGGGATGGTGGGAGACAGTCCAGCAATGCCGGGAGGGCCGCCAGTTCCCTGCTGCAGGTGTGGACAATACTAACTTGATTACTCCTATCAGGCCACATGCCAGGCTGGCTTAGAACACCTCTTTCAAGCATTTAATGAGGTTGAAGCTGTTCTCCTCTCCCAGACAAAAGCAGCTAATGCTGGAAGAAACAAGCCAGTGTTGCTTTAAGTGTTGCTGCCATGTGGCTCCACTGCTGCTTCTCTAGGAACCCAGAAAAAGCCAAGAAGTGTGTTCCCAACAGCCTCACCATCCTCATGCAATTGCTCTGTCAAGGATGATGTGTATTCTTTTCCTGGGGAATTCTAAGACAGGTAAATTCTAAAACACTCAACATGTTGCATCTTTAGGAGGTTAATGTTTGATTCAGTCAAAAATCTGATTTAACTCTGAAACACTTCTGTTTAACTCCTCCACAGATATACCAGGGCAGGAGAAGCTGAAGCTCTCCAGACCTTGTTGGGACTCCAAATCCCATCAACCCCAGCTGGAATGGCCAATGTCCAGGGATGCTAGAAGCTGTGATCCAAAAATGGACTCAGGACCACAGGTACCCCACCCCAGGTAAAAACCTACCAGTACTAAGTTTCCTAGCTCTTGGTATTCCTGACCCACCCCCCACAACAAATCCATTCTCTTCTTTCCCAGGGTGGAATTCAGCGCACCTCCAAACCTGTGAGAAAGAAGCCACAGGATGCATGTTACCTTAATCACGGCAGCCTTGCTGTCCCCAGTGGCCACAAACACCACGCTGCGAGCCGCGTTCAACACTGGGAGGGTCAGCGTAATGCGCTCCGGAGGTGGCTTTGGAGAATCGCTAATGGCAGCCACTATTTTCTCCCGCTCCTGCCACAGGAAAGAGGGAGGGAGGGAGGGGAGATTAGGGGTGTTCTGTCACAGCCCTGCCTACACCATATTGTGCCAAGCCCATAATTGAAAAGGATCTCCACAAAGCTATTCTCAGGCACATTACTGGCAATCTGTGGCATCAGCCAAGCACCTGTTCTGAAGAGCAAGCCTAGATATTTTAACTGGGCAGACACTGGTATTCAAGCCTCCATAGCATCCTTGCAGAGCAACCAGTCTTGAGAGCCAGCCGGCCAGTCATCTTTAAAGAATGTGAAGAATGCATGCAAATTCATATCTTCACCCAGAAATGAAGCAAGGTGGCCGGGTACACAGAAAGGTTGAGTGAGATTTAAACACAAATGCAAAAGAGGAAATTTGACATGACTATATATGTAGCCATAAGCAGTTAACAGCAAATGGAAGTCCTGGGAGCACTCCAGACTTGAGAATGCCCTGGAATCTGGTTGCCCATGCACTTAGATGGAGCAACAATTGCAGCTAGGAATTGGGAATATTTGTCAACTTGGGAAAGGGGGGCTGGCACCTAAAAGATTGATACTGATTCCAGCTATGTTTGATATTTTCTTGCTTCTCCAAATACATGCTGTCTGAACAGACAGAAATGGGCACAGGAACAAAGGGAGAGGACAGCCAAAAGAGGGGAAGTGCTGCAACAACACTGGGTGTGTGTGTGTGTGGGGGTGTCACATCTGCAGAACAGGCTTAGATGGGGAGTGGCTTGCAGGCTTGATAAACTAAATGAGTGCAACCATAATCCCCCCCCAAGAAATCTGCAAGGAAGTGCCCTGGGATGAGCAAGATGGTTTTAACAGCTAGGGGTTTGTTTAATATTGAATTTGGTGAAATGTTTCTGCATATTTTTTAGTCGTTCTTGTTGCAGAAGCTTCTGAAATACTCCAATTGGAAAAGGAGTTACTCAAGCATTTAACTGTTACATACAAGCAATCCTGTTTGACTCCTAAGCCTCTCAGGGATAGGGCACAGTATAAAACCCAATTAGAGAGAAGAGATTTCTCACCCTTTACTCACATCAGCTTTACTTACCTGAAGCAGCAGTGCTGTAAGCAGTAATATCAACATGCCCTAAATGGGGGAGACGCAAGTGGTCCCGGCCCCTGGAAGTGTAATGCTGACACCTCGTCAGACATTATTTCAGGGACATGCAAGGCTAGAACCCAACAGCTCTGGTACTTCTATCTCTGCTAGGCAAGTGATGCCATTTCCTTTTTTAAAACAGGGGTTTCAACAGAAGCAAAAGCAAAACACAGGAAGTGTTTAGAAACCATTTCATTCCATTTTGGAATGTTTCAACTGCCTATGGCTGCCGAAACATATTTTTGAGTTGACTATTTAATGTACTTCAACATTTACAAGGTACATTTAAAACCATATCCAAACTTGCTATTTTCTTACTTTCCCAAACTTCAAAAGGTCGGGAAACAAATGCATCTTTGATGAGATTTCTTTTTTAAAAAATAGATCAAGATTTTCACTGATACACACACTAGTACACAAACACTAGAACAGCAAGTTTGAACTAGACATTTAAGCAATTAAAACTTAAGCTGATTCAATGTTGGGGGCAATTTTAATCTGAGAGGCTGTGAGTTTGCACTGTTTAATTTCTAAAGTTATTTGGGTTCTTGTGTGTTATTGCAATAAGGAATGAAAAAGAAAATATTATGGCTCTCCCTTCTAATAGCCAACAGGTAGCTCCATTTATTAAACTGAAAAGTCCCCTTGTGGTTTCTCCAACATCTCAAACAGAAACCTCTATTGACGTTTTGGTACAATACAAATGTATTTAAATTTAATTTAATATATTGATCAGTTAGGAGGCAGATGGTTAAATAACTCATCTTTAAATTGATTGATAGTCCCCAAAGATAAGTTTCAAAAAAACTTCAAATATCCTAAGGGAATTGTTTGAGTAAAGGTAGTTGAATAAGAGGAAAAGGGGTGGAGTCAAGAGTCACCGTCCGATGAAAGCAGATGATGCAAGGCAAAGAGAAAGGGGAGGAGAGCAAGCACCTGGTCAAAATCTGAGATAACATAACAAGAAAGTGTCCAGAATATTCAGTTTAACCACCTGCCAGATCTGTTCCCCTGGCAATCAGTTTGTCATGCCTTGCAGCCACCTACAGTGGTTGTGGTGGGGAACCTACAGGGGTCGCGGGTCCACCTCTCTCAGCTCCCATCTCCACTCCCATCTCCACTGGCCACAACCGCTGGAGCTGACAGGAGCTGGAGTCCTCCAACAACATCTGGAGGTTAACACAGAGCAGGAATGGGGAACTGAGGGACTAGGTGTCAAGTCACACCCCTCACCAGCCCAGCTCTGCCCCCTCTTTGGGTGCTTTTGCCTGGCTAGAATGCCCACTTGAACCCTCATCATGTGTCTTGTGTCCTGGATGGAGGACACAGAAAGAGGACTTCAACTCTATGAGAGCAAGCCTTTCTGCTTGTCTGATGGAACTATCTCCCCTCTCCTCCCCTTGTGGGCTGTTCTGGAGGTTCTCCTGCCCAACCCCCTTAACCAACTGGGCAGTGGGAGAGGAGAAGTGGGGAAAGTCCTTGTGCAGACTTCTGCTAGCGAGATTGGTTAACTAAATTTGGCCCAAAGTGCTTACTGCACAAAAGTAGCATGCACATTTATTACTCAGCCCCCTTTTGCTTCTGGCCCTGCCAAGCACTGTAAGGTTTCTCAGAAGGGAGTGTAGTCCTTGGGCTCAGAAAGTATCCCCACACCTGACCTAGAAGCTCAGTGGGTAGCTAGCTCCTAGTGTGGGAGAGCATCACTCTCAAAGATCCAGCTGCCCAGTGAATTCCCACTTGGCACTGCCAGAACAAAATCCAATTTAAATGTGTCAGGCAGCCTGCCTTCAGGACAAAGCAAGACACCAGTAAGCCTTAATCCGATTCCCCTCAGCAGTTTAAAATAGCCAGCTAGATAGACAGCAGCCCCTTCTACTTTCTCCTCCTTATTCAGACGCTGTGAGGCATGACCTCTGAAAGGAACATGGCTCATACAGGGGTGGAGAACCCTTTTCAGGCTGAGTGTGACTCAACAAATGTGAATGCTGCTTTGGAAGAGGAGTCTAGCTTCTGCACTACTCACTCAGTCATACACACCCCTCTATCCTGCACCCAGGCAAGCAAGAGGCAGGATCCTGTTCAAGGACACAAACATAAACTCAAGGAGGGGACAAAGCAGGGCCAGTGAGGGGCGCAGCCTGGAGAGCGTTCCAAGGGCAGACAGAGAGACCTGGGGGGCTGCATTGGGTCCTGAGCCTGAGGCTCCCCAGTCAAGAGAGGAGCAGTGCAGCAATAAACCTGCAGACACATTTGGTTTCAAACTGGGTGAGGGACCACGTGTTGAGATTCTTGCATTGCAGGACCCTTGGGGTCCCCCCCCCAATTCTGTGATTCTATGACAGGGGTCAGCAAACTTTTTCAGCAGGGGGCCGGTCCACTGTCCCTCAGACCTTGTGGGGGCCGGACTATATTTTGAGGGGGGGAAACAAACGAATTCATATGCACGCTGCACATATTGTATTTGTAGTGCACAAAAAATAGGAAAAACAATACAATATTTAAAATGAAGAACGATTTTAATCCCACTCTCAGTCCGTTTTCCATGGGGGGGGTGTATATGTGTTTTGTGTGTTACAGAAACTTAGTCACCAGCTATTCACCCTCAACCACCTACCCCCCCCCCAAAAAAAAAGTGACACAAGCCAGCTCCCAAACAGGGAAGGGTACCCTTGCCCACAGAAAGAGTATCTCCACACCACAAACAGTTTCCCTTCCATGGGGTTTTCCTACCACAGCTCATCATTCTTGGCACAGAGTGTGCCTCCTGACCATGGGAAGAGTGCCCTGCTGAGTGTGTGTGTGTGTGTGTGTGTGTGTGTGAGAGAGAGAGAGAGAGAGAGAGAGAGAGACAGACAGAAACTTCCACCTACCCTCCCCCCAAGAATATGGGGTGCCACCTTGAATAAAATATTGGGAGAGGCAAGTAAGCCCCACCCTGTATAATCGATCGCAGTGTGCTTTACACGTGCACACCAAAAGGCAACGTCCATCAACTTTTTTTGGGGGGTGGCTCCCTCAAATTTTTTGGGGGGCGACGAAGGAACCTATGCCAAGAACAGAGACAGGCCAATCCCCGGAATGGCAACAGTGCCCCTGTGCATGGCGAGAGCACCTCTGCAGCACTTGAGGTTATTACAAAGTGGGGTGGGGGGTGGGGACCGATACCACTTGCCTCCTGATTCTGGCCAGCCAATCCCGGGCTCGAGGTGAGCCTATACCCACCCTCTCATGAAACTGGCAAGAGTGCCCCTGCCCATAGCAAGCGCGCCCAGTGCGCAACACCCACACCTCCTGCTCTGCTCCGTCTCTGCTGTTGGAGACAAGGAAGCCGAACTTGTCGACACAGTGCTCGCCATTGGAGCTGCCGCCGCGGCTGCCCAATGAGCTCTGTGAGTCCATCTCGCTCGTCACAGCCACTGCTGCTTCGTATTTGGCAGCGTCGCTGTTGTCGTCCTCTGCCTCGGCCAGGGGTGCAGAGCCCATGCCACTGGCCTGGGTGGCGGAGGCAGCCTCCCTGCCGCTGCCGCTTCCTTCCACTCGGCCCTTGGTCATATGCGGCCGCCTCAGTGGGAAAGAAGGGGCATTGCGCAGAGGTGTCCGTGGCTTCGGATTGGCTGCAGGAGCTTCCTGCAGCCAATCCAAAGCCATGCCAGCATCGTGGAAGTCAGTCCCCGCGCGGCGAGGCATCCATGGCTTCTTCTGAAGGAAATGCTGCACCGCACTGGCTTAGATCAGCACACGGAGACTGACTGAGCGGTCCGCAGGCCAGATTTATGAGCCTGGTGGGCTGGATCCGGCCCCCGGGCCTTAGTTTGCCAAACCATGTTCTATATGATCAAAGTTCACTGCAGCTCCACACCCTGGCTCACCTGCAAGAGAGAATGATCCGGAAAGAGTGAGCAAGTGTGCCCATCTGGTCCCACTCCCAAGATCAAGAGGTCAAACACAGGCATATCCTCGCCTTGGAAGGCCTACACAGAATGGGAGAACACACATTTATCAACCACATTTTCAGTACTGCCCTTCAATATACAATTATCATTGTGCTTTACAGAGCTTAAAATAAAAGTAAAAATGCAATGGAACAGCATCGCAATCCTAATGGCAGGAAAAACGAAGAAGCCATGATAATATCATCGGAAGTTGATAATAAGCCTGGGAAAAGGTATTTGACTGGCACCAAAATACCTTAGTGCCAGGCAGCCAATTCCTTGGTGTGTCCAAGTCAGGGACAGCCGACCTTCAAATGCATTAGAGGGAAGACCTTGCCTCCCACCAGCAATTTTCCAAAGTGCTTTCAGTCTTCAAGCTGTCATGCTGTCAGGGGGGCCAAGGGGGGAGGGGAGACCCAGTTCATTTAGCAAGGAGAGATGCATATTTCTGACTATTACTAGAAGATCCCTCTAGGCTTGATTTGAGCGTGAGAGAAACAAATAACTCCCTTGGCCAACACACACAGCCCTTGCAACCTTCGGTTTTGCTTGAATTGTACTGCAGCACTAGCCTCCCTTTTGAGGTCATCTTCTGCATCTTGTTGACTGACCTCAGTGTTGCATGAAGCGTCACTTTCCTGCCCCCCAAGATTTCTTAGGAAAAGGGTGTGGCTTTGAAATAGGGCCAAGGAGAAACTTGAAGCAAACAACAAACTGTGTCTTCTGGGCACAGTTCAAAAACTGAAATCAGTAAACTACAAATTCAATCAAAATATTAATCCATATATAAGAGTTGGACCAGGTCAAAATGAACAAAAAGGATAAAAAACCCATTCAACCGCATAAAAAACTCTCACACAAATAATAAAAACAGAATTATAAACCAATAAGAAGAAAGCAAAATAGTTCTAAGAACTAAAAAGAATTGAATTTGAAAAGTGAGAAAAATAAGGTTTTCACCTAGCACCAAAAAAACCCTAACATAGGCACCAGGCATGGCTCTTTGGGGAGAGCATTCCAAAACTGGGGTGCCACCACTGAGAAGACCCTCAGCCCATTTAATGCAGAGCAGCAGAGCAGACTAGGAAGAGCTCTAGCCAGGAACTCAAAATTTAGGATGTTGAGTTAAGCAATGAATGGTAAATAAGCTCAGTCCATTAACTCTCAACACACAAGGATTTTTTGTCCCAACATGGGACCTTGTCTGAAAAACACACACAACTGTACCTCTTTCAGTTTTGCTGCATAATCTGCAGCTGCCTCTTCCACTGGTAGCGAAGGGTTGATAACAACAATTTGGTCCTCAGGTACAGCAATTTTAGAAAGGAGGTACGTCTGAAATAGGTAACCACAGGTCACATAACAACAAAACCATCTATGGTGGTTCTTTCCAACTTTTGTACTAGCTGATGAAAGCATCATATAAATTGCCTCTTTTTCCTCCCTTGTTGAAATTTAGATTGTAAGCCCCTCGGGGCAGGGGCTGGTTTCTTTTTAGCTTATAGATAATATTCTGTAAAGTACATCAACGGCACTATATAATTAGTAAAAACAAGATGACTATTTCATTTCTATATCCCGGAGGGCCAGCCCGATCTGTTTGGGCCGGTGCGGCGAACCCCACAAGGCGAGGTCCGCTGCCCCCGGGACCCCGCCGCCCCCCGAAAGAGCCTCCCCCTCGGGCCCCCCGGAGGGCCACCTGGTAGGCGCCGTAGTTGCTCTCGGGGTCGCTGAGCGGGACGCGGCGCTCGTCGGCGAAGGCCAGGAGCCAGCGGGCCGGGCAGGCGGCGGCGGCGGGCAGCTCCTGGGCCAGGACGCGCACCAGGCTGCCTCCGGCCAGGCCCAGCGAGAAGCGGCCGGCCGCCCCGCACTGCGCCTCGCGCTGCGCCACCAGCTGCGCCAGCGCCGAGCCCAGCTCCTGCGGGGAAGGGAAGACCGAGACGTGCGGCGCCGAGGCCGCCGGGCCGCGCCGGGACGACGAGGAGCCGGGCATGGCGGGCGAGGCAGAGAGGGAGCCGGCGGGCGGAACGGAAGGGCCGCGCGGCGAGGGAGCCGGGGGGACCCATGAAAGCAGCGAGCGCGGCCGGGCGGAAGACCGGGAGGTAGCCGAGGGAGCACGGGCGGAAGAGGCGCTGGAAGGAAGCGCAGAGCAGCTCAGCGCAGCCCGATCCCGCCCAGGAGGCACCGGAAGTCCGGCGGCGACCTCGGAAGCCCTCGCTGCTCTGGACGGCCCGGCAGCGCCGTCCCGCGGCCGGAGGCGCATCTCTGGCTGCCCGCCTCGGCAACTGGCCCTCAGACTCAGCGCGGGGGGGGGGGGCAAGCTGGAAGTCAGGAACTAGAAGCGATCGACGAAGCCACGTTTCCCACGTCCAGCAAGAGTCCCGCTGCAAGAGCAGCTTTGGCCTTTGCTCCTGCTTTTTGAGTGCCTTCCTCCTCAGCAAAGTCTGGAGGGCGTTGTGTTGGCTGCCTCTGTCCCATCAGGCACAGGGGAAGACCGTGTGATGGGAGTCCCAGAAGTAGGTGGCTAAGGCACAGGTAAAGCCTGGTCCTTAGGAGGCCGCCTCCTCCTCCTCTGCCTTTAACAGACCAAAACGCAGCAGGTGAAGAAATTAGTGTCCTATTTCTATACTGTCTTGTATTTCCCCCCTTTCCTGAACCAAAAGTGGTCCTGAAATGTAGATTGGTCATCAGATTCTAAATCTCAGGGACAGGGCTATTTATTGAAGATACAGGCGCAAATTAACATGAAATGAAACCTCCACCTTTTTAGCTAGAGGCATCTTGAAATTTTGTTTCTTGAGCATGCATGCCTAGCTGCCTATGCTATTCTCCAACCCTTTGGAATAATCCCCCGCCCCTTTTAATGTAGAGACTGTCTTCCTACTTTGCTGCATGTCTCCTGCACAGGAGTTCATATCCAGTCCTCCACTAAAAATAATGCATGGCATAAAGTAGCTCTTTTTGTCTTCCCTGAATCTTCCAATGATTAGCTGTATTAGATGTCCTGAGGTTCTGGTTCAAGAGACACCTGCAGGAATGAATGTTAATGTGTGCAAAGGGCCCATAAATAATGGTCTTCTATCCTGCTATGGCCAATGAGTTCGAGCGTCTACAACAGGAGCAATTTCTTGTAGGGGAGGGAAGTATATGACCACAAAACAGCATGGAAGAAACTATCTGCACATGCCCTACCAGGGGACACTAGATGCTCAGAAAATGCATTATTACAACAAAAGGCACTGCCTTGAGGGAAGATACAGGAAGAGTAGAAAGTAGAACTTGCGAGACGTGCCTTGTCTCACAAAAGGATGAGGTAAGAGTTTGATTTGGAAGTAAGGTTCATTGGTTCCAATGAAGTTAAATTTCAAGGACTGAAGGATACTTGGGGTCCTTTTTGGGTTTTCCTTCTGAAAACGTCTGATATAATAAAAAGTGAGGCATGACCATGGATCAGGTGTTTGTACATCCTTTATATGGGTTGTATTCTTAGAACAAAGGGAACCTATTAACATAATTTACAGAATACATACTGCGTGCCCGCCCCCTCCAATATGCATACAGGCAACCCTAGTTACTAATCCAAATCAGACTTGCTTGTGATAACGGCTTATGCAGATATGATGAAGAGACACAGGAGATGATCCAATGCTAAGTGGTCTCCACCCACAAAAGTCTTTTTGCTTGACTAGCTACATCCATTGGTTTAATAAAGCCTGACAGAACAGAACTGAGGGCAACAAAGAGTGAAACTGGTCTCTGCGTTTGACTGAAATGACATGCAGCTGCATACATCAAAGAGAGACAGAGACAAAAAAGAGCAAGACAAACTCTTAAGCTTTCTTCATTTTTTATTTTCAAAACAAAGTTATACTTTGACAATAGTGACTCCATCTGAAAATGTAACTGTTAGTGCATGATTTCTGTTCAAACCATGAACTATATAGCCATAAAAAAACTATGTGCTTTTCTCCAAACAACAGGGCTCAGTTAGCTGTAGGTGCCTTTTTCTGAGGATTAATAACAAAGCTAAATTTATTACAAATGTTAACCTGCTCTGTCTGGCTCTGATGAAAGGCACATTCTGGGTCTAATAAAAAAGGGAAAGCACATATTCCACTGGTTTCAGAACCATTACTTAACAATGGCCCTACTAGTACTGTATGGTGCTCTATTATACAACCTAACACTGCACAGAAGTCTTTGTAAAATGGTTTTGTGCAAAGTTACATTTTTATGAAATAGAAGAAGGGTTATTAAAGGGAAAAGGGCACAGAAAGAAGAGTACGGGAACATCCCAGTAAAATAATCAATTCCATAGAAGTTAACTAGGATATCCTTGGAATAGCTGCATTAGTGGTACAGGTCTTCCACAGCAACATAATCACAAGAAAGAATCACAGCAACTTTGAAGGTATGGTCACTCACAAGTCTCAGTATCCCTTCTGTCTTCCTTGTTTTAAATAAAATGCTTTGTGCCATCTACAGAAATTGCACTAGAAAAAGCGGTAGAGTTAGTAATACCCACAGTTGTGTACTGATGGAAGGTGAATGTTAGGATTATGTTGCAACTTGCTTTGAGCAGCTGCCACACTTCCTACAGAGAGCAGTGTGGATCAGATAAACCAAAACAAATGTTACCAGACTTTGTTCTCAGGATTATCACCCTGTTTTCCAAGATTCTGGATCAACGTCAAGTAATCTGAAATGTTGCAATGTTCAAAATTGGACATGTAAACCAAAGCACAACGGCTTCCCCTACAAGGATACAAAGTATTTTATTAATCTTCTGTCATTGTGTGGAAGATTTCAAGCACCACAATGGATTAGAAGGGTGTTTCCTGTGCATTTTTCAGCCCAAATTTGTTTTTGCTTTAATATAACATTTTTAATACCAACTTTGTTGTTACTTCATAAAATTAGTCATTTTATTTTTAAGATCAAAGTCTCTGCAGATAAAATGATATTGCATTTTGAAAGTCAGTCCATTAAAGTTCTACCTAAACATGGGTACATTTCAGAGTGATGACAACTGGAGGGACTATAAATGTGTAGATTAGGAAGCTGAAAATCCCAAAACAACTGAAGACGCTCCACAGCAATTGTGCTATTGCCTTAAGTAAGGAAAATCCAGCTGAGACACATGGCAGAAGGCAAGTCCACCAGTGCTATTGCAGGCTCAGTCACACCAACGTATTGAGGGCTTTAACAATGTAATAATGGGGACCATAAATCTGTCTTGCTTCACACAGTGTCTTAAAATGCAATGGTTACATAGAGGAAGGGGAAGAAAAACCATTCTAAAGACTGAACAGTAGAAAGGGGCCACCACCTTTGCTCAGGAAACAGTTAATGTGCTTTTTAAAAAGATGATGGCCAGTCTACTCCCTGTGCCTTGCTAGTTTTTGTCCCTACTGCAGATGTTCTGAATGGAAACCTTGCTTCACTTGTTTAGCCAAGTTTGTTTCTCTAGCCAAGCAAAGCCCTCCAGTGGCAAACTCTTCACTAGTGGCTTTTGCTGATGAAATCACAGAGACACTTTTCCAGCCTGGATCCTCTCAAATACACACTCATCCACAGGTAGGTACTTGCCAAGTTTTACATCCAAGAAATATAATCGATCAGATGTCTGGTGTGGGTTGTAGCTTTCCCTTTGCAAACGTGTTTTCTGAATTTTGAAAGTGCCTGTTGGAAGAAAAGAAGTCAGAATAATGGTGGGAGGAGGACAAGGGCAGTGGCAAGAAACAGCTATACTGCAGATTGAAGGGAGACGATTGGCTGAAGGAATTGCGCTGCTCTCTTCTTCAAAGCAAGCATGTCATGGTCAGATGTGAACACAGCTCAAACTTCAGCTAGATTCAGGAGGAAGACTGGTTATTTCTGTGAGGCAAGTTGTTGGTATTGTTACCGTATTTTTCGCCCCATAGGACGCACCGCCCCATAGGACGCACCTAATTTTTTTGGGGGGGGGGGAAATAAAGGAAAAAAAATTATTTCCCCCCCAGGCACGGGGCAGGCGCGGGAGAAGCCCGAGCTTCCCCCGACCCCAGCCCCCAGAACAGCCTGCTATCCGCAAGCCTAGGGAGCCGCGCCGGTCTCCCCAGGCTTGCGGAGAGGTGCGTGAAGCCTGGGCGCGCTCTTCAGCGCGCACCAGGCTTCGGAATGCAGGCAGCTCTGCGCCACCCTCCGGAGCCGGGCGCGGCTTCGCGCCAGGCTCCGGAGGGTGGCGCAGAGCTGCAGGAAGCCCAGGAGCGCAGGCAGCTCTGCGCTACCCTCCAGAGCCCCGCGCGGCTTCGCGCCGGGATCCGGAGGGTGGCACAGAGCTGCAGGAAGCCCGGGAAAGCCTGCATTCGCCCCATAGGACGCACACACATTTCCCCTTCATTTTTGGAGGGGGGAAAGTGCGTCCTATAGGGCGAAAAATACGGTATATGCGTTAGTCACAAAATACAAAAATAGCCTCTGGGTGATTTACAAAATAAATTCAAAGACACAGTTAAAAATATAGCAATCACCAACAAAGCAACAACCTCAAGATGCTAACAATAACTAATAAGAAGGGTGAAAAGGTAGAGACAGAAATTACTAAAAAGTAATGATTGTTACAATACGGAATACGGTGAATCGGTCATCTTGCCATTTTGGATGCTTCTAGATAGGAGCTTGATGTCACAAACAGGTGGTTTAGAAGAAGTTTTTTCTTTGTGCACAACTGGCATGCAACTGTGCACATGCTCCATTTTTTAGGCTTATATTTTTCATCGGTATTCTGCTGCTTCCCATCCCCATCAGTAGGTGGCCCTTGATGAAATGTTTCTGTGCTATGTTTTCCGGCCCCAACTCTCATCCACTCCTCCCCTGCCAACCACTACCTTCTCTGGTCTGGGCATGCACTCATGTTTGTCCATATATGTGCGCACACACTTAAGGAACTCTACAGGAAGTGTGCAAGAGTAAACATTACCAGCTCTTAGTTATGCTTCAAAAGGTAAAAAAGGTAAAGGACCCTTGGATGGTTAAGGCGACTCTGGGGTTGCGGCGCTCATCTGCTTTCTGGCTGAGGGAGCCGGCGTTTGTCCACAGACAGCTTTCCAGGTCATGTGGTCGGCATGACTAAACTGCCACTGGCGCAACAGAACACTGAAACGCCATTTACCTTCCTGCTGCAGTGGTACCTATTCATCTACTTGCACTGGCATGCTTTCAAACTGCTAGGTTGGCAAGATCTGGGACAGAGCAACGGGAGCTCACCCCATCACGCGGATTCAAACCACCGACCTTCCAACT